AGGCAAATGTGGTGGCTGATGCACTGAGTCGGAAGTCACGGGGAGTTTTGGCCAGTATAGCTTCCCAGGAGTGGCTGATGCTTGAGACTGTTGGACAGTTCAGGCTACACTACAGAGGTCAGACTCATGGCACTTTGGGGAGTCTAGTGGCTACGCCTTCCCTACTAAGCAGAGTGATCGAGTCCCAGGGCCAGGATACAGAGATATTGTCTATTAAGGATCGCGTACAGTCGGGTACAGGTGACGAGGGCTGGGCCATTCACGCGGATGGTAGTCTTCGGTTCAGGGGAAGGGTTGTGGTTCCCCAATCTGCAGATCTGAGAGAGGAGATCCTTAGGGAGTTTCATTGCTCCCGTTTTGCTGTGCATCCAGGTAGTACAAAGATGTACCATGATCTTCGCCGCCAATACTATTGGAATGGGATGAAGAAGCACGTTGGAGATTTTGTTAGTCGATGTCTCACATGTCAGCAGGTCAAGGCTGAACACCAGAGACCAGCAGGGTTGCTCCAACCTTTGGAGGTGGCTGAGTGGAAGTGGGAGCACGTCACGATGGATTTTGTGACTCACTTGCCACGGACATCGCGAGGGCATGACGCAGTATGGGTGATAGTGGATCGACTTACAAAGTCGGCACACTTTTTGGCAGTACGAATGACCTTCACACTGGAGGATTTTTGTAGACTGTACATACGGGAGATAGTTCGATTACATGGGGTGCCCGTATCTATAGTATCCGATCGGGACCCTAGGTTCACGGCCCATTTTTAGGAGAGTTTTCAGCGGGCCATGGGAACACAGTTGATGATGAGTACCGCTTTTCATCCCCAGACGGACGGTCAGTCAGAGAGGACTATCCAGACCTTAGAGGACATGCTACGGGCATGCGTCCTTGATTTCAAGGGTGGCTGGGAGGAGCATTTACCATTAGTAGAGTTCGCCTACAACAACAGTTATCAGGCCAGTATACAGATGGCACCGTATGAGGCACTTTATGGGAGGCCGTGCCATTCTCCGATTTGCTGGACCGAGGTTGGAGAGAGACCCTTCACGGGTCCGAATTTGATTAGAGACACTTCAGAGAAGGTGGACTTGATACAGAAACGTCTTATCATGGCTCAGAGCCGGCAGAAGAGTTACGCCGACAGACAGCGACGACCTCTGGAGTTCGAGATCGGAGATCATGTCTTCTTAAAGGTGATGCCTAAGAGGGGAGTGGTCAGGTTCGGAAAGCGGGGAAAGCTATCGCCGAGGTATATCGGGCCCTTCGAAATACTTGAGAGGGTTGGTATAGTTGCCTATCGGTTGGCATTACCGCCAAATCTATCTGGTGTTCACGCGGTGTTCCATGTTTCTATGCTCCGAAAGTACACTCCAGATCCTACACACGTGGTGGATTGGGGTGAGCTAGTGGTTGATGCAGATGGAACCTTTGAGGAGGGACCAGTGCGTATCATGGACAGCCGAGAACAGGTTTTGCGGGGCAAGACTGTGAGGCTGGTAAAGGTGTTGTGGCAGCACCGTGGAGTGGAGGAGGAGACATGGGAACGTGAGGACACTATTCGAGCTACCTATCCATTTTTGTTCGAGAATGGAGGTACATCTCTTATAGTCATAGAGTATTTAATGACTTTTTGCATATGCATGTCGTTATATGTGCATGTGGGTATAATTTCGGGGACGAAATTCCCTTAAGGGGGAGAGAATGTAAAACCCGAAAAAAAAATTATTATTATTATTATTATTAAAATCCTAATAAAAAGGGTAAAATAATAATTAATTGTTAAATTATGGGTCAAAAAAATTATGTTTTGTACAGCCGGCGAGACAGAGAGAGTGAGAAAAAAAATTAGTTTTTATTTATTTTTTTTTTCTCTTTTCTTCCTTCTCAGATCTAGGAAAATTTAACCGTTTAATCGCTTCGGACCAAGAACTAAAGTTGCTCTACTCAGTGAGAGCTACGCAACCACACCAAATATCGTATTTTTCTTCGAAGGAATATCAAAGTCGATAATTTAGGCCTAAAACTTAGGAAGCTAAATTTGGGCTTCCTCGGTGTTCTAGTAAGTGGTCTCACGCTACGAGAGGTAGGGTTTCCCCTATTTAGATTTAATTTCAACTTAAAATATGACATATGAAATGAGTAGATTATGAGTGTATATCACATGTTAGGTCTTGACTAGTGTGACTAGTGGGTCAAATATAGAATTTATAATTAATCTTGTGATTAATAAAATTCTATTGTGATTAACTTGGTGCAAGTTAATGTTAGTAGTTTAAAGTATGTTAATTGTATGTTAGCATTACTTTATATTTTAATGGCAGATCAAGTTTAATAAAATTATTAACTTGTTATATGATTGTGAAATAATATATACATGTTAAATGATTATTTAACATATGATTATTTTGGTGGACTTGTGCTTATGTTAAACATGTTGTCATATTGCAAGTCATAACATGCTTGAGATCGTGTTAAAATGTCATTATATTGTATTCATTATATAATAAACATTGTATTTCATTATGCATGGGTTGCACTACATTCATGGGCATTGACATGGGTGGGAGTGTATGCATGGTATGAAATCAATCACCACGTAGGTGGTTGAACGTGGACTCGGAAAAGTCGCACCAAGGTTCGGTTGAGTCGCACGAGAAATTAAATGGATAAATGTGTTGGGGACAGCACGAAGGACTAGATTCTCCCTCGGGTGCAAGACCCGCTTACTTGGTTTATACACTTTCCGGCGGTGAAATTCCAGAAAAGTGTAACGGCGGAAACGGAGCCGCAGGTGGGATGTCCTGAAGATCCGTTGATGGTTGGTGTCCCATTGGTGTAATACCATAAATCACCTCCCCACAAAGACACAAGAAAATGAATTAATTAGTCATTGAGTGTACATAACACCAATTATGGGGGCTTGGAATGCTCGGATACATACGCATGACATTGCATGTGTTATGGGAGCTCAGGATGGGGCTCGAGGTTGGTATTGCTTGCGTGAATCTCATCTCATGGCATGACATGATTTATAACATTCAATCATAATAGACATATTTGAATGAATGTATCAAATGATTGTTGCATGTGACATTCCATATGCATTTAGGTTGAAAGGTATTCTCTATAGGAGTTACCCTATTGAGCGTTGACTCACCCTTTATGAGAACATTTTTCAGGTATCGCACAGGCGTCCACCGAAGGCGAGGCCATAGGCCCGCTTTGACGACAGAGCCGGTCTATGGCTTTTATTTTGACATTGTAGTCCCTTGTTTATACTTACTTTTGGCCTTGTATAATTTTTGTAATAAACATTTGTTTATATTTACAAAGGCATGTATATGAGACTCTTTTGGGACATTTATTCTTTTACGAATAAATGTATATACTGATAATGATTATGGTAGTATTCGAGACTATATAATTGTGAATGGATAGATAGACCCGGTGTGGTCAATATTGTACAGGTTGCGTTTGGAGTAGAGCTCCTTGTACAAAGGAGACTCTGTCCAAATTTTGTTAAGTTATGGATCCCGAGAAATGGGGCATAACGGTGTGGTATCAAATTATACGATATCCACCAGTATTACACAGGTCGATGGATAATCAATCGGATAATTACAGACACCCAGACTTTGGAGTGTCACAGGATACAGTACCAACTCGGGTGGTATAATCATTGTAATTGTGACTTAAATTTATAAATAGATCCTGGTAACTGACCAGGGGAAAGTCTATCTACGAAGAGGAGCCAATGAAGAAGCTGGGGGTGGTTAGATCTCTCATTTTTGTATTCTTTCTTAAGTTTTCCACTGAATGGACAAATGTACAGAATTCATATGCCTTCACAGGACGCAATCTAATTTATTATTGACAAGAGACAAATTATTAGTTAAATAAACAAAGAGAACCACAACAGATAAATAAGGGGACAGTCAAATGGGCATTTCTTAATTAGTTTTCATTGCTGATTTCACCCCTTAGCGTGATTACTGATGTAATCACCATGTTGATGTGGGTTGAGTTCATCTTCATGTTGATTTCATCCCTAGAATGGAACACAGTATTAGACAATTTAGAATCGGCTCAGAGTCCTGGTGATAAATTTTAAATATCTTGTTAAAATTCAGGTTCTTAATTTGTTGTCAAAACTTGGGTTAACTTGATCAAATGAACTGAGTTTAGATTTGTGTTCCAACCTATACTCAAATTTCAAACTTGTTTTCTAAATCAACTTTGGCTCATTTTCACGTACATATACACATTTTTTTTAGTAACTGTTTAGGAACAACTTAGTTTATTTGCGGCCCTAAATTAGGACAGCTATTGCTGCACTTGTGTTCAACAGTGTTGATAAGTTACCATGATGTGATAGCCCATCTGATGCAGAAAAATTTTGCCACTGTCCTCGTGGGTGACAGAGAGTTCCTTCCTTCAACCCAAACCAACAAGCACATAATACAAACACATCAGCTTTGCTGGAATTTAGTGCTTCTAACAGCTTGGCAGGTTCAAACAAATGCCACGTTTAAGTAGCGCCGCTGGAGCAATATCACCCAAAAGCTTCAGATCATGTCGCTGTGTGAGCCATTTATGGTGAATCTATGCCAGGCCCAAAAGCATTAAGATTTTCCATGGGAATGTTGGCTGGACGAATCAAGTATCATGAAGCATAAAAGGTTTAGTCACATGGAAGAAACTCAATATTCAGGAAGTCAAAGAAAATCCTGGTTTCTGACCCCATCAAAACTTGACCCCTATAGTAGCTTAAGGCGCAACTTTTTTCCATTAATGGATAGCATAGAATTGTACAACGATACTATTGAGAAAACACTACCACCATACAAGACTCAAAAAATACCAATCCCATACTGAAACATTCTCCTCCAAAGTGCAATGAAAACGATTATTCTATGGATGATAAACAAAAGTAAAATGATGCAAATTGACATCTTCTATTTGACTCGATGTATCAAGATTGTCCCAGGAAGTTCCATGGAGGGAAAGATAGGTACATCCATGATCAGAACACAGTCACAAATGTAATGACCCTGCAAAACATAAAGAGGGAAATCAGATTACATTATCCTGAGGTGCTCAATTATTTAAGAAGCAGGGTAAGTAGGTACAATCCAATTGTAAGTGGCCATCCAAGTGAAATTACAATGTGGCAATACACCAACTAGGAACTGATTTAACGTACTTGTAGTTCTTTTCAATGCTTAATGATACACATAAAGAGCAACCTCAACTAAACTCCAATCCAATGATATTGTAATCCTGTCTGATGGTTCTTTCTCACCAACATACTATACATAAGGTCATGTCATCTATTTAATTGGATGCCAGCAATCAACCAACAACATTGACCGGATCTCACGTTTTCTCTCCAACCCCACTCTTCACTTGAGTAGTTAACTACTCTTTTTGCATAACTAAGCTACTACACCCCTCATCTGGTCCTCAATAGGGTTATCTCTTAATTTCACACAATTGCAAATGTCCGAGACTTTTTTTTCTGATCTAGTGACTTATCCATCTTAGAAAAGTGCATCAACAATAGGCTCATTGTCATTTGACTGCTAATAAATTTGAACTATAAGCATGGTCCTTGGAGCTAAATATATTGTGTCAAAGTAGAAAAAATAGCTTCAGAATTCATTTTGCAATGCAGGTTCAGAAACGGAAATCAATGGACAGTAAGCCAAGGAAAACAAACACTAATCACTTCAACTTACTGTCAAATTGTATTGGAAAGAACTGCAAACTTGCTCTAATCAAGAATCATCCTTAAATTCATCTGAATCAGAATCACTTGCATTGTAACCTGATAGAGGTAAATTAGAATTGATAGAGCACATTTATAAAATTATATGACCAAAATCCATGCATGCACATGCCAGACACACACATATCATACAAAGTGAGAGACAGAGAAATCACCTGGCCGTTTATTGCTAACTTTCCAAACTGAAGATCGAACTCTAGATGCTCTCGTCATCCATAATCTTCCCTGAAATCACGTCATGTGAAATTAATATACAAAAGAAACATACTTCAATAGTTTTTTTAATGGAACACACAAAAGAAATAATATGCAATTTGCCCAACACCATTGCAAAATCGCAATAAGTTAGGAAACCCAATAAGCCTAAATCCACCCACCACATATGCCTAACCTTTAGAAGAGTGCATGAGACTTATCAAGAAACATAAACCATCCCACCCCATGACGTGGGACTTACAATAATTTTTTTGACGGAACACACAAAGGAAATAACAAGCAAATTCCCAATTTATTCCACCCACCACTTCCAAAAGGGCCTAACCTTGTAAGGGAACTTAGTTCGTAACCTAAACCTGTTAGGTAATTACAAGAAGTTAGACATGAAAATAAAGCACCCAAAAAAAGGCACAAAAAGAATGAAACAAAGAAAAAATCATTAGCAAGACCTAGAAGATTCATTGTTCCATTTTTCAATATTCAGGACCAAGAAATTTAATTCCCTCCACCCAACTCCAACATAAACTTTTCGTTGAAGCAGTTTATTCATTGTTTGTTGTATAATTTTTCTCAAACCAAAACGACAGGAAACTCAAAAACACAGTTACAACTTTACTTTCTCTTCATGTCCTCACTTTTCTTTGCTACCAAACCAAACAGAGCCTACCACAACTTCTTGACCAAGTAAAGCTGAAAGTTTTCAACTTTTGTCATGGGAAATCAAATCAAGACAATATCTAGAATTTGAAGCCATCTCTATCTCTTTTCCCATTTCCTTCAATTTTCTCAGAAATTTAACAGTCCGAATATCTTCATAAAATCAAAAAACAGCAAAACCAAGAAGCAACAAAACCACAAATCCTCAGCAGGACCAATCATATCATCTAGCAAACATAAAAAAAATATATATGCAAATATACGCACTAATGCATATGCTTGTGGATCCCAACTTGACCGAAATTAAAATCTGAAACTTAGAGGCCATGATATATGTATAAGCAGATTTCTTTATAGATAATTACCATATATATCTGAAAGAGAGAGAGAGAGAGATAGAAAAAAACCCTTAAAAATTAACCTTCTGGGCATCCCGGTGAATACCATAGCCACTATAATACATCTGACCCACCAACACCTGCATATTCAAGTCCCCAGCTTTGGCCTCCTTGAGGGTGTCTTGGAACCACCGCCTCACACAATCAGAAACCACTTGTGAAAGAGGATGACGGCGGCTCGGCTTCTCATTATGACTACTACTACTGTTACTGTCCTCCATCTTCCTCTTCAACTTCAATGAATTCAGCGACTTTGGCGATTCAGATTTTGTGGGTTTTGATGAGTTGTTATGTAATTCCAGTGAGCCGCTGAATTTGAAGCCTAGCTGTTGCTGGTGATGTGGGCAGCGATTTTTCGTCAAAGATGGAGAATCTTGGATGGTTTACAACTTTACAGCTTGAATTTGCGGACAAACAAACGACGTCGTAGAATAACTTAACCAACCACCTTCACTAGCAAATAACAGTGCTACTTGGACCTTCCTAAAATACCGGCATAATTTATTGATTTTATTAATTGTCAATAATTTATTCGTAGGCTCTAGTATATGTTAAGATTCAACAATAATTTAATAATTATGATTAATTAGGTCAACAAATCAAGATAATTTTTTTGAATTTGTTTGGTAGACATATTGTAAGTGAATTAAATATTATATTGTACTATTATTAATTTAATCGGGTCTAATATTTTATTTGGTACACAAATTTAATTTCGTATTAATTTCAAAAACATATATTTATATATATTTATCGTAAATTTTTTGTATCATAGACATATGTTATTGAGGTATTAATTATTGAGGTAGTGGTGGTGAGCGGTGATAATGATAATGGATGACAGTGGTGATGGTGGGAAATAATAATGATGATTGTGGTGAGTGGCGACAACTGTGGTGACGGTGACAGCCGTGGGTCACAACGATGATGGTGGCGGTGAATTTTGGATGATGATGGTGATAGTGACAATCATAGGTGACGGTAGTTGTGGTGGTGGGTGTGGGCGACGATGATGATGTTAGTAGTGATGGTGGTGGGCAATGATGACGGTGGTTAGTAAAGGTAGTGGTGGGGGCGATTGTGGTGGTAGCGGCAACGGGTGGGTTGTGGTGGTGAGCGGTGACAATGGTGGTGATGAGCAATGATGGGTGTTTTTTGGTGACAGTGTGATGGGTGCTAGCAAATGGTAGTTATGGTCATAGGTGTGGTGGGGATGGGTGGCAGTGGGTGGCGGTATTGGTGAGTAATGACAAGTGGTGGTGGTAGATGTGGTAGGTATGAGTGACAGTAGTTGTTGGCAATAGTGAATGATAACTAATTGTGGTGGTGGGTGCTGACGGTGGGTGATGGTGGTAGTGAGTGCTAACGATGGTAGTGACTGCGAATGGTGGGTGACGATGGTAATTGTTATTGACGGTGGGTGACGTAGATAGTGGGGATGATAATGATGAATGTAATAAATATAAAAATGAAAAGACAATGGTAATGAATGGTGGCGGTGGACGATGGTAGTAGTAATTGATGGTAAATAGCGATGTTGGTGTTGGTGGTGGTGCTGGGGGTGGTGGTAGGGTGGTGGAGTGACTGTGGTGGTGATAGTAATAATGGTTGTAGGGGTGGTGGTGGTAGGGGATGATGATGGGACAGTGACGGTGATGACTGTGGTAGGGTGGAAGGGGTGGTGTTGGTGGGGGGGGGGGGCATGGGTGTGGTGGTGGTGGTTGTGGTAAAGGTGGCGACAGTGGTCGTGGTGGTAATGGTGGAGAGGCAGTGGAGGGGTAATGGTGGTGGTGGGCAAGAGTGGAGCAAGACTTCTATCTCAGTGGGGGCAACATAAAATATAATAATAATATTTTATTTTTTTCACAAAAAATAACTGCGTAAAAAAAGCAATGTAAAAAAAATCAAAAAAAAATGTCAATCAAGGCCATTCGAATATACCCATCTCTCAGAATTAAATTTTTTTATGTACTCCTCAATATCCATTTTTCTAAAAGATTGATCATTGTGCATAATATTCTAAAGAAATTGATGCACAATCAGATCAAGTCATCATATTTCAATTCAAATCGAAATTATCAAAGCTCTAATGTCTATTGTTAGCACAAAAAAAAATGTAGTAATAACACAAACCTATTTGTAGCACCAAAAAAATGCAAAACCTAACTAAATCAAAGAAATCATTTATGTATTATTTCTCACAAAATCTCTGATAAAAATCTCAGAAACTCTCATTTTCTTTACTATCTACTCAATTATTTGTTTGGTTGATCTAACAAACTCATTTATCATCTAAATTTACTAAGGTTAAATACTCCCCTAATTTTACGTTAATTTTGTAACATATTGGTCATATATAAAATTATGACTTGTGAGCACTACGAATAGTTAGAGAAATTTATCTATATATAAAAAATGGAAGTTATTGATGAAAAGTGATCAAGTTTGATTCAAACCAAATCCTTTTTAGTGATCAAGTTTAACCCAAATCAAACCTTTTTTTTGGGTGTATTCATTAATCTAGTCATCCATGCAATTCTAGTGGGTGTTAATCAAATTGTGATTTCATTTTATATGTTGGATTAAAGAGGAAAGTCATATATGGCTAGGATGACTTTGTTTCAATTAATATGTTGGATTGAATAGTCAGATAGGGTTATCAAATTCACTAGTGGCCAACACAAGGGCCCAATTAAACCTGCACGTCTACCAAAATACAAAATAGGTGAGACCCACCCACAATTTATATACATAAATACCCCTAAATCTTCTAAAAAATTTCAGCGAGGGCAATATCCTAAAAGTTTGAAATTTTTAAATACATCCCAAAGATTTTTAAAATTGCAGTGGGGGCAGCTGCCCTACTGTAGATCCGCCCCTGGTGGTGGGGGTAGTTGTGGCGGTGGTGTTGATATTGATGGTGTAGAGGAATTGGTGTAGTGGTAGGACGGTTTCAAATATTAATTTTTTTTTAAAGTATTTTTGAAAAATTAAAAGATCTAGAAACACTTTTAAAAAGTCATTCCAAATACACCCTTAGGGGTATTAATATTAGCTGTCAGATCAACTTTAACGTAAAATTTAAAAAAATCTCAACCGTGAAAAATAAAAGTAAAAATAATTTTGTTTATCTGTTGAGATTTAAATTATATTATACTTTATTATATCGATTTTAATACCACCACTAGGAGTTGCAGTATTATAGTATAACTCAAATGTATTATTATACACATTTACTATTGTAACTCCACGACTGATACGATCAAGTTATTATCAACGTAACAAACAGTTTGACTCACGCTAAAATTTATTGAGGATATTTTTGTTATTCAATATTAATATGATGAAATATTCCCTAACTAAACAGTGAATTTGACTAAATAACTATTATTCAATGCTTATATAGTGTATGTTAAATATTAGATAAAATTACATATTATTTTAATACTTTATTTTTAATCTATTTGTGTATTATATTAGACGGAATTCATTTATCCAATCTGTCCATTTAAATACGCTATAAAAAGAAGTACAAATAACATTTGACTGTTAGTAGAGTCAATTTTGCTTCAATTAGCTCTTTTAACTACTACTTCATTTTTAACTCAGTTGAGATAACCCACGCTTTAGGATTTATTATCCAGGTTATATATTCGGTTGAATTCCCATTTATTGAATCACATTATTATCCGGGTTATATATATATATTTGGTTGAATGGTCATATGTGTCCGAACTAACTTATGTACGTCTGGACTAATCTACTTTTCGATACAATCAAAAATAGGTTATCAACGTTTAAGAATATGTTATTCATGAGAGAAAAATTCCTCATGACTTGATCTTAAAGGATTGTTAAGATTTGAACTCAGGACATTTAGATTTATAACTCGTCCATATTACTACTTGAGTTACACCTTGAAGGTTATTCAGGTTATATATTCGATATTGAATTTCCGTTTATTTGATGTGTGTGATTCACAAATTTCCTCTAATATTTTTTCATCTTTTTCTTTTTTAATAAATTATCTTCTATTCATGAGTAAAAAATTTACTTACATAAAATGAGTTTCACTAGATTTCGCAATAGATTGATGCATAAATAAATTAAATAACGACAAAATACATTAGAACGAATCTTGCTCATAATTTATATATATTTTTTAGAACTTGTGTATAATCATGAAGAGCAATTCTACATGGATTTAAAAAATAGACTTAAAAACTAAACTTGATAATCTCAACCATTGATTTTACTGTGGGTCCACCATTTATTGAGATTCACTACTTATTTAATGGTTGAAATTATCAAATTTAAATTTTAAGTTCATTTAACATTACTCAATCACGAGTAGTCTCTCGTTTGATGGGAGAGATATCTCATTCTGGACAGATGGTGGCAGGGTGACGATCCAATTCAACAAAAAATCCAACTCCCACAATTTGTTGATCTACAGAGTACTGTAGCTGATTTCATTGATGACTCAGGTAACTGGAAGCTTCAAGAGGCATTTATGGTTCTCCCTCTTAACATCTTGAATGATATCATGCACACACCTTTACCAAAATTTGAGTCCTTTAAAGACACAGTCTCTTGGGGGCCAAATAAAAATGGGAAATTCACTATTAAATCAGCTTACAACCTGCTAGTTTGTGATGATACAAGCCTAAATACTTTGCTTAAATGGGATTGGATATGGAAACTGGAAGTTCCTCAAAAGATAAAACACTTCATATGGCTTGTTCAGCATGACTGACTTCTCTCTAATCAACTTAGGGCCAGGAGAAACATCACTACAGAGGCAGGTTGCACCAGATGCAACACCTCAACTGAGACCACATTGCATAGCCTAAGAGACTGCCCTAAAGAAGATTAGGTTTGGAACATCTTCCTTGACTTTAATGAAAAGCACATTGATGATAGCCTTGGCCTGCATGATTGGCTTATTTTGAATATTAAAGGTAGGAAGAATAAGTCCTGGAAAGGTGTTACTTGGCCCACCATTTTTACCTCCATTATTTGGCAGATATTGAAGGATAGGAACAAAGAATGCATCACTAACACCCTAACACCCAACCTCACTGTGGCTAAAACAGCCTGGACTTTTGCAACAGAAATTGTGAATGCATTCCTTGATAATAACCTGGATAAACCAACAAAACCACAGAAACTCATTAGGTGGTTTTTTCCCCTTGCAGGTTGGAGGAAGTTTAACACAGACGGTTGCTCAAAGGGAAACCCAGGATCAGCAAGAGTGGGAGGCCTCATCAGTAGTGAACCAGGCATGTGGCAGCTTGGTTTTTATGGCAAGCTCAACGAGACCACAAGTATCCAAGCTAAACTTTGGGCAATTTCCAAAGGATTATAGCTGATCCACAACAAGAAATATAACAGTGTGATAATGGAAACAGACTCAATTGAGGCTTTCATTCCCCTCACCAAACCACAAGAGGAGGACCACTACAATGCAACCTCATCAAGTCCTCCAAGCCATCAGAGCCGATTTAGCTTGTATTGTTTTTCTTAGAGAGACTTACCAACTATTTATACTTTTCCACAGCACCCAAAAAAACAAGAAAGAAAGAATAGTCTCCCCTTTCATTTGCCATTAATATGCCTTCAACCATAATATGACCCATCACTGCTGCAGCCACCTTCTCTCAAGAATTGAACAATGAAAACAATGGAATCACTGAGAGAAGGGCTTTCAAATACTCTGTCATTGGTAAAAAAAATTGCACTGCATGTTTATTGTTTGCACTCTCTTCAACAAATTCTGGAAAAAAATTTATAAGCTATCTACAAAATATACAGTATCACAAACATCACAATACTAAGGTCAATTTATCTCTTAATTCACCAGTAATCTTTACATGAACATGACCCATCAATAAAACAATGGAAGCGGTTAGTGTCCCGCACAATTATCTCTCTACCTGTAATCTTCGTGATGAGCTTAATAGCCATGTGGCAATCACCACATACTCGAAGGTTTTTCACTACTCGGATTACATCACTTGATTTGGTATTGATTAGACCAAAGGCAATAGCCAGTTTCTCACTATGAACACCAATGAAGTGCTCCTTCTCTTCCTCCTCAATGTCAAAGAGTACAAATTCCGTTGTTGGAACATAGCCTGCTGCCTTCAATTCCTTGGACAATTCATTAAGCTTAGCATATATCTTATCTGACAAAGGATGGGACGTATCTCCCACAAGGAACTCATGAGCAACCCCATCTACTTCTATCCAACTATATGCAGGAATTTTCTGGATCTTTCTCTCATTCATAATTGACCTAATCTCCTCTGCATCATTCCATTTATGATTAGCCGAGTAAAGATTAGATAGGAGAACATAATTTCCAGAATTCCGAGGTTCTAACTCAATCAATTGCTTTAATACATGTTCAGCCAACTGGGTATCTCGATGTAACCTACATCCACCTAACAAGGCACCCCAAACAATGGCATTAGCCTGCATTGGCATACTATTTATCAACTGATGGGCTTCATCTAATAAACCAGCTCTGCCAAAAAGGTCGACCAGGCATCCATAATGCTCTATAGTAGGAGTCAAAGAAAACACACGAGTCATGCTATAAAAATATCGGCGACCCTCATCAACAAGACCCGAATGAGTACACCCACAAAGGAGGCCTATGAAAGTGTTCCCATCAGGCTGTATCCCAAGTTTCTCTACTTGGCCAAAAAGTCCAAATGCAGCTTTGACGTGACCATTCATAGCAAGCCCAGATATTGCAGCATTCCACACCACGAGGTCTTTCTTCTTCATCCCTTTGAAGACTTCCCAAGCTGAAGCCATCTTCCCACATTTTGCAAACATGTCAATTGAAGCTGCAGCCAAAACAGGGTTACTCAGGAACTCATTTTTATCCACTAAAGTAATAGCCCACTCTCCCAATTCTAGCGCTCCTAACCTTGCACAAGCAGAAAAAACTCCAACCAATGCATAACAATCAGGTTTCAAATTCTCCTTTTGCATTCTATGAAAAAGGTCTAAGGCTTCTTTCGGATGCCCATTTGACGCATAACCCTGAATCATAGCACTCCAAGAAACTATATCCTTCTCCAGCATCTCATCAAAGACGCTACGAGCTCTCTCCATGTTTCCAAATTTGGAATACATGTCCACTAAAGACGTACCCACAAAGACATTCCTTTCCATGCCAATGCTCATCAAATATCTATGTAGCCACTCTCCAGTATATATATCCCCTAACTGAGTACACGCAGACAAAACCCGAACAAGAGTGAAACTATCAGGCCTCAAATTCATCTCCAACAACCTCCGAAACATCTGAATCGCTTCCCTCAATCTACCAAAACTAATATACCCACTTATTATAGCAGTCCAAGAAACAACATTTTTCTCAGGAATATCATCAAACGCTCTATAAGCATAATCGAAATACCCACATTTGGCATATAAACAAACTAAACCAGTATTCACAAACACATCATAATCGAAACCCGCTTTCACTACAAGGGAATGAATCTTTGAACCCAGTTCAAAATCCAAGAGCCTCGAACATGCTTTTAGGATAAAAGGGAAAGTAAAATTGTTCGGCAAAAAATCTTCTTTACGCATTAGACGGAAAAACTCGGTGGCCTCAACGAAACAATCGTTGGAAACGAACCCTCGTATCATGGTATTATACAGAAAGATATTCGGTTCTTGGTTTGCTTAAAAATAAGTTTAGCGTAAGTTTTACTATTGAAATGGAAGGCGGATTTCAAGAGCATGTTTAACAGATAGTTATCTTGGTCGAGGCCGAGGCGAAGAAGAAAAGCATGGACATGTTTGAGCTGTTTGAAGGAATCAAAGCCATGAAGGAAAGCTTTTTTGATGCCCAAGGCCTTGGAAGCAAAGGGGCAGGTTGGGTTGGTGAAGATGGTCATGGCTCCTCCTCACACATGGTGGTCTTCCCCGCCATAATTTAAAAGGGCTCAACTTTCTGCTTCAATTTCGGCAGAAAGGCTTTATTGTTTCATTCCTTTTTCCTTTTCCATGGAGAATCCTAGAAAGTGTTTTGATAAATACTTTCTCAATATTCTGATAAATTATAACAATTGAATAGATACTAAGTTTTGATAAATATTTGCTCAATTAAAAAAAAATAACTTCATTGTATTGTGCATGTTTTTTTCAAAATAACCAACTTTTTTTCTTAATAAAATAATATTATCGAGGGTGAATGACATTTTACATCTTAAAACATTAAATTAACACTTAAAAATTCTCACATTACACCCTCAATCAGGTAAAAATATAGTGATGTAGTCTAAAACTAAATGTCTAGTGTTTCTTGATGACTTTTTTGTTGCATTTGTCATACTATTCTATTTCTATATATAATTTTTTGCACAATACTTAATTTTAAGCATTGTCAATGAAAAATTTGTGCTCAATTTTCTTAAAATGGAGCACATTGTTACCTTTTTATTTAATTGAGTATGCAATATAGAAAGTTTAATCTTTCAAAGTGTAAATTGACAATGTAAAGATCTTTTGGGTATAAAATATCATTTCTCCTATTATTAAATTCCAAGAAATTGATGTACAAGTTAAATTTATTATAACTTACAAGACAATGAATAATGGAGGTATGGCCATCCAACAGTTTTGTAGTTACTAGTAACTTTGATTAGTTTGTTGGATGTGGTGGCCGATAAGCGATGCTAGTGTGATTGTGGCAACATTTAGAGGTTGCACAGACACGTTATTAATGCACTGAACTTCTGTGAGGAATAAACTATTTTACTTGCTGAAAAAAATAAATAAACCATTTCTATTACTCAAATTCATAATACATGTTACAATAGAACTACCCTAACGATGCCCCAAAACTAGATGTGTACGTCTCATTTGGAGGACTTAGTTCAAGAGAATAATCGGCGTAAGTTGGTAACCCTGTAACAAAAAAGTTGGGTCCTTAAAAGGATATGACTGCAAAAGAAATTCTGGAAACTGTAATACCATTCAGGTAACTTTGCAACTCAGAAAGAAGTTCGCGAACAGCACTGGTAGTCTGCAACCACAGATTGAAACCAGTTCATCTACTCAACATATCTGTTTCAGGTAAATGATGTACAGCATACAGAGTATTTGGCAAAAGACATAAAACTCAGGTTATAACAAATGCCCATTTACTAGATACAAAATTGAATACCACATGAATTACATATAAAGCTTTGCACAACCCCGGTGCACATACACCAACCAAAATCTACACAAACTAAATGACGATGCACTTATATGCCGAACCCCAGCTGTATCACACGTTTTCATCTCACGTTATTTGTGGGTAAAACACTACAATTGACTACATTTCAGGAGAGAGAGAGAGAGAGAGAGAGAGAGAGAGAGGCTACTATACAATGATATAGGGTAGAGCAGAAAAGAATACAATCATATGATAGAAATTTCCTATTCACCAAAAAGTAGAAAAAAAGTATTCTCCGTCCAATTCATGTCGATGAAGAGAGTATGGTAAACTGCAGAAGAACAAGGTTTCCCAAGATATTTACTTCATGGCAATAAACCCGTGAAAGAGAAGCAGTGATATAGCAAGGTTTTTCATGAATCACTCCAATTATCTGCATCTTCATCCTCATCACTTCCAGCCAATGCCTATGTCAGATATTTATCACTTAGGTTATTGTGATAGAACATATTCAAAAGAACACGAGCACATGCGCACGCACACAGAAACACACGCCCACACAAGCACAGGGAGCGGGAGAGAGAGAGAGAGAGACCTGGCGGATCGCATTTGCTTTCTCCAAAATAGCAGCAACTTTCAAATTGGTTTTAGGGCCCGCAATGCTTGGTCGTGTCACTGCTGCTGGTTTCAAGTTGAAGGACTGATGGAATGAAGATGAAGCTCAGTCATCAGCTCCAAATGTAAATACAATTGAACCAGAAATTTACAGGTGAGAGAGAGAGAGCACTCTGACCTTGGTTCTGATCTGTTCCAGAAGTGAATCTCTTTCATTTTCCTTCTGCATCTGAGGCTGAACACGCTCCGTCACCTTCCTCATCTGCAAGTAATTCAAAACTGTTAGTAAAATGAACCTTGCTAAAGATTGTGCTCGTTTAAAAAGGCGAGAGAGAGGGGGATACAACAAAATCATTATTACCTTGCTTTTGTCATGAGCAGCAACAGCATCAATAAGCGGATTACGAGGTCGAGGAAGTTTACTTGACCCATTCCCATTTGGCTTTTCACTTTCTACAGCTGACCATGCAATTTCTTCCTCTGAAGTCAGGAAAACATGATGGGTTTGCCCATATTCTTCAGATGGCTGCGACACAAGTCTGTTGTATGGATTCACCACTTTTCCCTCCAAAATTCCAGAGCTCTGCTCCAGCTTTTCAACCTCAAAACTCATTTCTGGTGCTACTAGTTGCTGCTGTTGGAATGGTTTTTGATGTGAAGACACAGGCTCATATGTAGAAGCTGCATCTCCAGCATTTGTTAGTGTTAAGATTGAATCCACACTAGGTCGTGTCATTCCACTCTCTACAGCATGGGAACTATGTTGTGGCATCTCACCATATCTTGCAGGCAATGTTAATAATGGGTCCAAAGATTGTGTTTTGCAGGAAGTAATAAAATTATCCTCACTGTTTCTATGATTAAGAATTGTTGGTATTTGCAATGAGAGTTGATCAGACTGCACCACATTACCAGCTAAGTGTTCATAGACATGTTGAGAATTTTTATCCTCTACAGCTGAGGGTGGCAAGGATGAGCCGGAAGGTTGGATTACTTGCCCCTGAGTAGGATAACCCAACTGAGCTTTCTCTTCAGCTGCAGATGGTAATATTGATGGCAAGGAATCCACATTATATTGTGCAGCATCTCTCACTGAAGCTGGGGACGTGTGTAGAAGCTTCCCTATCCTCCACTGAACTGGAGGAAGAGGTGGCAATGGAGGTATCTCCTCCAAATTGATTTGACTTAGCTCAGGAAGTGGGACAAGGCCAGGAAAGAATGAGATCGATGGATCCGTGGCTTGGTCAAGGACATCAAGTTTATGGCTGGCAGACTCTGGTAAGGGGTCCACCCCTGAAGAATGGCTTGGTAGGTCCATTGGACGAGATTTGGAACATGCACCAAAGTGACTTTCATGATCCATTTCATTCGGAAGTTCTATCTGTCGCGGCTGAGAGAAGGATTCTGAACTGGATTTAGTCACACTCAGCAATTCCACATCGGGTTGATCAGCCTGTGAATTAACATTTTGTTCTGGAGGGGTTCTCAGCTCTTCAGTAAGACTGCTATGCTGGAGTGATTTTGGTTTTGAATCATGGCCACCGAGCTCTGAAGATGATGGGACTGTGGCAGAATCATCCAGATGCAAACAGTTTTTGGCTTCTGCAGCCAGAGATGAGTCCGAAACAATATTAAGAAATTCTGAGTTAGACTGATCACAAGGGAGTGTATTGGACAAAATGGAGTCCGGAACTGATGAAGCAACTGCCTGTTGTTTCAAAATTGAAGTTGAAGCATCTTCCATGTTCTCAATAAAATCATCCAGCTGGGGAGACACTGATTCAGAATCTGAGCCGCTGTGTCTTGAGGATGATGGAATTATGGGAGCATCATCAAGATGCAAACTATTTTCAGCTTCTGCAGCCAGAAAATAGTCAGGAACCCTACTGAGCAATTCTGACTCCAAATGATCAGAAGAGGCTGTACTGCACAGAATGGTGTCCAAATCTGGTGAAGCAAATGCCTGCTGATTCACTTCCTCCTGTTTTTTTGATTCCTCATAATTCTCTGAAAGGCATGCTTCAACAGTTTCCAATGCACACCAATCTCCATCCCCAGGACAAGAAAGGGATTTTTCTTGCAACATTTTGAGATTTATGGATGGAGAATCAGCATCTTCATCACTAACATCATTATCAGCGCTGGCAAGGGCAGCAGCCACAAGCACATGTTCAAATTGAGCTGTTTCAGTTTCTTTCTCATCTAAATGTAAGTGAACCTCAGTGAGCGACACAGGATTTGTAGAGTTGGAAATATCAGACAGAAATTCACGAGTGCCAGCAATACTTCCAATTAAATCCATCTTGAGGGTACTTTCACCCAGCTCTTCACCATCTTCTGTGCTGAGAGCTTCATCAAGAGTACTCTCTCCAGAACCTGAAACACCCAGTTCTGCTGAATCAAGATTAAGTGGTGGAACATCATCTAATATTTCTGAGACCTGCTTAACCACAACGTTTGACGTACAGGGACTATCTACTACAGGATTGCAGTTTAGTGCTACCTCCCCATCTGATAGAATAGCATCTGCTTCAGAAACTACTGCTACCTCCCGATCCAATGGAACAACATCTACTTCAGAAATTATTCCATGCTTTACATCTGGATTATAAGTTTCAACTTCCGGCAAGGTTTGAACAAAAAGCTCCTCTTCCACCTGTGACATAACTGAATGTGGTGAACTAGTCGGACTGTTGACCAAATTTTTCGCACAATTACTTTCTGCATGTTTTGTTTGAGACACGTCATCTGACAAACTTTCACTGCTCTGCTTCTGAACAGTCCCCTCCAAGATGCTTAAAGAATGAATGGATGCATCAGGAAACACATTTGGATCCTCCTCATCCAACTCATCCATGGGATGGTTTTCAGCAGATACTGTTGGTGGGAAATCATCTCTTGTCTCGGAACGAACATCAACGAGATCTGGTGTACGGGATAAACTATCACTGAGATTTGTCCCAATTTTCCCACTGAATCTAGTGTTAAGTTCCTCATAATTGGAGACTGTTTCACCCAGTTCTGATACCACCAATGTTCCTTCCATCAATAATGCTCCCGGACCCACAGTTAAAAGTTTTGGAGCTAGATCTGTAGTATGTGAACCTGATGATGGCTCTCCAGCATCAGCCCTATCACTTGGGATCTCACCAACCTCAACAGATGCACCACCAGAGGCTACAAGCTCTGGAGGTTGGATCACTGGAATCTCTTCATTAACAAAGAGCTGGTCAGACGGCATACCAATGATCTGAGGTTCAAGAATTTTTGTAGATGATAAAAGTTTAGCTGAAACATCTTCATCTGAAGGCGAATTCTCGGCCAAAGTGCTTGGAGTATCAGAGTAGGACAAACTAGATATTCCCTTCCTGGAAGAACTGTTCCAATCATCTGATGCAGTAGAATTTCCTGTCGATTGAGAATCTGAAAAATGAGCTTGAAGATGTTCATTTGCATCAGAATCTGTTCCCTGCTTTCCACTATTTAAAAAGCCCAGATCATTCTTGGCTCTAAACTCAGAGTCCGTCTCCATTTCTGATTCCATGGTAGCAAGGGCATCCATGTAACTATCGATCTCACTTCCAACATCATCAGATTGGTCACTATCCAGACTGTCATCCACTTTGCTTTCCTCATCAACCACTATTTCCTTTTCATCTACCAACTTATGAAGTGTAGGCGAGATGTTATCTGCTTCAAAATGAGGGCTGGGTTCAGGCACCGTCAAAATTACTCCATCAGTGGCATCCTCACTCAACTGATGCATGAATGGATTTAGAACAGTCCCTCTAATATTAGAAGAACTTGGACTACTCTTTCTCTGCACTGACCCTTCATTGTACCCCACTGCAATGATTTCAAGTACTTCAGGCCCTGAATCACCAGTGCTACAGGGTGACAATTTCAACGGTGAGGAACTAACAGAGATTTCATGAACCTCTTTATGATCTGGTGAAGGTGTCCTCAAAAACTTCTCCATGTAACTTTTTCCAGATTTTGAGTCAAATGGAAACCCATTCAGCCTTCTTTTTAATTTCACACGACGTGCAGGATCACCAATACCATTCCCAACACACTCCTCCAGAAACAACTGATGGAGTCTGCAGTATTACAAAGAAATTTAGTCACCAATCAACAATTCATACTTAAAAACAAGTAGAACAACAAACATGGTTTAGTGGTCTCACTTGGCATGTGATTTTGATGAAATCTCAGGGGTTTCTCCATTCCTCCAGCGTGATCCTTTCTTCTGTCAAAAGTAGAAGAATCAGTTTACATTTCTTTTACAAGTGAGAAAGAAAGAATAAGCATCTATGTTAGACATCTTTAAGTGTGGACACGACATATGTATTATTACATGGTTACCTGTTAAAGCCATGATGTATCACTTACCGGAATAACAAGAAAAGGGGGATAAAAAAAGAAAGACAGACAGAAAAAAGTTTCTTATCCTTATAATTCAAAAAAAATGCAGAATTGACAGTTAATGTCATTAATTGATAATTGGAAAGGTAACTCCGCCTGTGTACTTTTGTGCACAGCTGGTCAGATAAAGGAGGAGGGATGCGTCAGGTAGCCAACAGTGACAGCCAGTATAAAACTCGTCAGACCAAACATGAACATGAATCCAAAGGTAGGTTCTCAAACAAAAAGTAACTAATATAAAAAACCTAACATGCAATATAAAGTTTAGAGGTAGAGGTAGAGGTAGAGGTAGGGAGCATAGAATCACCACACAACCTGAAAGCCTCAAAGCCATAATTTACTAAAATAACAACAGAAACATAAAATACCAAGGAAAACCAATGAGAAGAGCAGGACTTGATTTATAAATTGCATGGAATGTTTTCAAGTGAAAACCATAGTATAAGGAACTGATATCTGACTGATCTTTTGTGCATTGTGCTCATTTAATCTTTATGAACACATCTACAACTGAAGATTCTGTAACTTTAAGGCAATACATTTAAAAGCAGGAAATAAAACCTTTTATTTGGCCTTTAATGAGTCAATTATTACATTTGAAAAGGATGACTTCGGGACTGTTGCAGCACCCACCATAGGAAGTCCCATCATCGCATGTGCATTAGATATTAATCACAAGTTATGCTTGTTTAGTGCGGTAGTCATATAAATAAAAGATAAACCTAATTGTTGTCCTAGTGTTTTGGTGGAATCAGATGTGATTGCTTAACCTCAGAGTCAAAGTTCGAAGATTGGTGAACATAAAAATTAAATAGAAGGAAATCTCGTGGTGTGAGCATAATGTCTATAGCAGGTTGCTTTGAAGAATTTCAGGTATATAGCAGCTACCAAGTACATTCTGAGGCCACATGCAACTTGGGTTAGCATTCAATTCAGGACAATTATTTGGAGGATCTTACATTCAACTTGTCGATTTACCTTAGCTTTGCGGATTTTCTTTTCCCTCTGAACTTCTGCATTCCGCATCCCAGATGATGATGCTTCAACTTTAAAGAATGATGGATCTGTATAGCGTTTTAAACATGCCCCAGCACCCGCAACGTCAAACCTATAAAAAAAAGTGTAAATTTGATTAGATTTTCCTTCCCAATTGAAGATTGCTATTTGACTTCATGTGACATCAAAGGTCATACTTGTCTAAAAGGAATAAACGAGGTGGACCCCGGCACTCTTCATATGAGTCCATTATAAACCGAGGTAAATCTCCCTGGGTGATTAGGTTCTGGTCCATACACAGACTAGGATGCCAATCAACACCTGAAATATAATAACACATCCACATCAGTATAATTTTGTAATCCATTTTTATTACAAGACAATGGTCTAGGCATTACAGTAAATAACAAAATAATAACCAAATTACAGAGGGATAACATTGAGCTGAGTGTTTCCCTTGACCCACGTTAAAATTCTTTGTTACTGTATTGCTATATCAGATTTGTAATGAGCATTTAAGAAGGAAATTGGAAGCACACTGCAGGCAAAGTGCAAAATATAATGCAGGAAGGATCATGAGGAGAAGTGCTGCTTGCAAAAAAATATTACAAATGGGTTGATCTAAACGACACAAGACTAATCAAGAAACAATAAGGAGAATTCTAGAACCTGTATCATAAAAATATGAAGAGTAACTGGTTTGGGAGAGAAATGCCTTCTCGATTGAAGGAAATTCTGCCTCAAGCTGTTGGACACGAAGCATTAGACCATGGCCTCTTGCAGCAGTTGCCATCACTTCCTCATGCAAATTATGGAATATCTCAGCAGCAAACCTTCAGCAATCACAATAGATAACCGATTAGATGAAATTATTGCATTCAAACTTTCAAATGGTGTACAGAGAAGAATTGAATTTCATTGGATCATGAGAACCAATATAACTCGCAGTCACAGGCAATGACAAGATGGGATCATCTGGATTCTGGCCTGCAGCTATGTGACCATAAATACTTTTGTGGAGACCACCATTTCAACATCCCTCAAAAAAGACCAAGCTCAAGAACAACCGAAAAAATCTAAAATAAAAAGAAAATCTAAACAAAACCAAAGATGGTGTTGTTTGGACATTTTCTTAATGATAAAGAGATTCCTAGAGCTAAATGGCTAAAAGTCAAGACTATTAGAGCATTCAACCTAAAACTAATTGACAAGAGTGGAAAGAACCCATAAGCATATAAACCAGCGTTGGGTGATCCTAATTATTCAATATGGCACACAAGCTTTTTTTCAACCCTCTCTCACAAATGACCTAGGCTCGCACATGAAGCTAACAACCAAAAAAGCATACTGAGAAATTCAAATGGGTTAGACACCTAATCTACTGACCTCCTGAGACTCAGCCTTGATACCACATTAGAGCATCCAACTCAAAATTAATTGACAATGAGTTCATAGACCCCTTAAAAGTACATAAACCAACAATGGAAGATCCTAATTATTCGGTGTAAGATACTAGTTTTTTTTACAAAGACATCATATATTACATGCTTACTTCCATACAATGTTTCATGGATTTAGGATTAATGTAATGATAAGATGTTTCAGACATTTGCACATCAATCCGCCAATGTTTTCCTCCAATATCATGAAACAGGACCAGTGCATCTCACCTATCCCTAGTCTTAATGAATTTAAGTCCAAAAATAATGAAATGTGTGCAATATAACTTGTCATATATATGTCGTTGTCTACAGAATGCGACATCTGAGTACAGAGCTAAGGTTGGTCAATGCAACATAATCTAGTTTTTGTATAGAACTGAATCAAATAATGTCACTCAGGCTTTGATAGTCAATTGGCATATTCACTTATAACGTGCATTAAGGTGGCCTAACAAGGATGACCTCAATCCTGTTGATCTCAGGTCCAATCCGCTCAGGTGGTCTTAATATTACATGAATGGACATAAACTACTCATCATATTTATTGACGAGGCCATTATCAGTACCCTTGGAACATTGGTTTTTGTAGGAATGTTAAAGACAGAGACACTACAGATTTGATGTCTGGTCTTGATATTCTTAATAATGTTATTGTTAATCAGGAGTCTAGTTATACAAGACGATGGTTAGGGGCGTCTTTGAGAGTTTTCTCATATAGATCTTTTTTTGATTCATTGTTGCATGAAATCCGTACCTTTTGTCTACTCCTACTTTAATGATTTGGACTTCTAAAGTACCCATTAAAGTACAAATCTTTGCCTAGATGATAGCACATGACAAGTTTAACACTAATGACATGCTTCAGAAGAAGAGGCCTCATTCTAGTCTCACCCCCAGTAGTGTGTAATATGTAAATGTGATGTGGAGAGGATTGATCATTTATTTTTACATTGTCCGGTTGCTTGGACATTATGGCATCTTTTGTTTCGAGTGGCAAGGTTGACCTGGGTGTTTCCAATAACATCATATTCATTGTTTGTTGAAGATGTGAAGGTTTTGGAAGTGTGCTATCATATCTACGATTTGAGTTATATATGGAAAGAACGAAACACAAGAATTTGAAGATCAGAGTGAGAGTGTGGAGGGATTATGGGAAAGTATTCATCTTTTAGCATCTCTTTGGACTTTGATGACAAAGGAGTACAAAGGAATTCCGCTCTTTACCCTTTTAGTGAGATGGAGAAATTCCTTTGATTTATAGGTTTATTGTTTCAGTGTGTATTTTATTGTTGTGGTTGGATTCCTTATCCATCTGTATTTGCATTTGTATCCCATATTTTATTTCTTAATAAAATAGTATGTTTCCTATCAAAAAAAAAATAGGAGTTTTCCTATAAAAAAAAATATTTATTGACTAGGCTTAACATTGCACTTTACATGAAAAGCTGTAGGGAAGTTTAAATTGCCGAATTCTGAAAGTAAACTATGTCATGTGCTAACATAAGGGTTCCCTGAAAAACAATACACATGATATTTGCAACTTGATTGTGAGCATGACATTATGAAAATTAAAAGATATAATAATAACATAATTTCGAAAAGGATATAACACGCTAAATGGACAATCTGGTTCTGCATGTGTACCTATAGCGCCTATTTACATCTCTATATTATCTTTAAGAAAATAGAGTTCCTCGACAAGTTCAAAATGCCCCATTTAGTCTGATGCTATATTTCTGATTATATCAATATACAATCAACTCCTCTGGCTATAATCAAATTTTAATCTTAAACTCAAAATTAAAATTCCTCTAACTCAAACCATGAACCTTAAATTCAATTAGATCTCAGACCCCATATACAATATAAAACCCCCTAATGTACAAGCATGAACTTGTATAATTATCGCCCAAATCCACAAATACTACATCTAATTCCACACTAATTGTCCCGAAAAACAACAGTGAATAGTCAGAAGTAAATAAAAAGGCGAGTTCAAACTACTCACTCAGCAAGGTCGCCCAACTGGCGCAGAACGCCTACAAGACCGGCCATGGCGACACCTTCCAATAAAGCTTCTGGATCATCCTTATCAGCTGCTTTGTACAGCTCTGGATCAGCCAAGCTGTACTCATTCCTTATCTGATACCTACTCAACGGCATTTTCGATTTCCCTATATATCCCAGAACTCATAAATAAAACCCTAAATTCCCCAGATACTGAATCGCTAATAGTCGTAATCCATGTCTTCTACACTACATTCTCCAACCAACAATATCCGTGACTCTTATACACATAGAATTGCACCTGAGAGAGGGAGAGAGAGAGAGAGAGAATTTCCACGAGGTTGTTGAAATGAATGTACAGAGAGAGAGTGGGCGAGGACTCGGAGAGTGGTAGAAAATGACAAGGTAGATTTTCTTTATTTTTAATTTTTCGGAGACACTGACACGGTAGGATGATTTTAACTGCCAATTTTTTTATGTAGAAAATGGACAATGGACTAACAAAGAACTAAGAAGGGGTTAATTTTATCTAGGTGGGCCCCTTTGATTTTGTTATGGAATCACATAGATCCTCTTTGGCTTAGCATATAACATTTGTAACCCCCCCCCGGCCCACCCCTCTCAGGTCTCGTCATACCAATATTTAATTTTAACCTCTTGCCATGTCAAGGGGAAAGAGAGGCAGGTGGTCGGCTATGAGGATCATAGTTAGGAAGTATGAGATTTGGTCATGAAGTTAGTTAGTACATTAAATTAATTTTTTAGATCTTAGTAATAAAATAAATCATTATTGAAAAAAAGAGGGGGGCAAAGTAAAACAAAGTGTCAAGTTTGACAGTTAGGATTAGATTATGTTAGGTAGGGTTCTATTCCATTTTTCCAAAGAGTTAAAGGATTATTTTTCAAAAATAATTATTTAAATAATTACATTCCTTCCGTCCACAAAAATGTTAATGAAGGAAACTATGTAATTAACTAAATAAGCAGCTAAGAAGTGAGCCGTGTTAAAATACGCCGCTGCGGGCAGAGCGCGCATCGTGCCCCCGCTTGTTAGGCCCTCGCGTTGTATTGAATCATGTAACTACAATATTAATTTATATATTAAAGCATGATTTCAAAGGTGTTAACGTGTAATAGGATATACGAATGTGTGTGAGAGTGCGCGCGCGTGTGTGAAGGTCAATTATTAGGGTCCACAGTTTTAGGCGTAGTGTAATAAATGAACGGTGAATATGGTAGCTATCAAGTTGACAATAATACTGGGTCCCTTTAGATCGTGACTAAGCCTGAACGTGTGGTGTAATCTTTTTTAGGTATTGAGGTTAGGATGTTTCCCGGACCAAAACTGACATTTCAATTAATATCTTCTGTTAACTCGTGAAAAATACGTTATTCAAGTTGTGATTAAAACTTACTTACCGAAAAAAAAAGAGTTGTGATTAAAAAAATTATAAAAAATATTTTTTAATAATCTGATTTTAAGAGAGTGATCAAATTTTAAATTCAAAATATCAATATTTATAACACATTCAATGTGTGGTGTTTTCATCATGTCTTATGCTCCGTTTAATAGGTAGAATGAAAAGGAGGAAGGATACATTTTTCTTCCTTTGTGTTTGATTGATAGATAAAAAATAAAAATGACTATTTTTTTTTTAGTTCTGGTTAAGATTAGAAGTGACAATCGAGTCGTGTCGTATCAGATTCGTGTTTAGTCATTACGAGTTTGTGTCGAATATTAGTCCAACCTAACTAAATTCATTTAACTAATTGTGTTGTGTCAAGTTGCGAGTTTACATGTTTATTTTCGTATTGAATTCGAATAGTGTCATCGTGTTGAGTCGAAAATTTTTACCCACAGTTAAGATGGAAAAAATATTTTTTTTAATTTAAAATTTTTATTTTTATTTTTATTTTTTTTATTTTTAAAAATATATTTTTTAAAAAATATATATGTATACATATTTTACTATTATATTTTTATATGAAATTAATGTATACATAATATATGTATATATAAAAAGATATATAAACAAATAAGATACATCTCAATACAAATAATTAATTTTCATATACTTTCCTTCCGATTTTGGAGAGATTGATTTTGATGCGTTGGAAGAAAAATTAATCCTTCCATTTTTCCATCTTTCCTATTTTCCTTTCTTACCAAACATGATATTTTATTTATCCTTCTATTTTTTCATCGTACCAAACGGAGTATTAATTTTTGTTTTTAACTGTTCAAATATGTGAATGATATATATTTGTATATATTAATTAATGCAGGTTACTTAATTAAATTATTAAAATTATTCAAAAAAATAATAACTAAAAAATATGTGTTCACCTGATTTCCTACTCAACTTCTTACTCAATTGTTTT